CCTTGTCAAGCCCCATTTTGATGTCCTTGGCCCCGCGGGTAAGGATCCTTCGAAGGTGGGAAAGTGGTGGCTCTGCCATTACTGCGATCTAAAATTTTCAGGCAATCTCAATCGCCTGAAGGAACATTTCACGAAGGGGATTTGTGCAGTTGAGACATCAACGAAAACATTGACCACAGAGGAAATATTGAGAAGGAAGGAAGGATTGCGACAGGCAAGGATAGGCTCGGGCATGCCGAGGGATGGTGCCAATGCCCTACCTGCAATCACCAGTTTGGTGGCTGCTTCTATGGGCGGGGGTTTGGTCGAAGGGGTGGGCGACGCTTGTGGTGAAGCGGCGGGCGACACTTGTGATGAAGGGGTGGGCGACAGTGGGCCAGGTATCACGGTGCATCAGTTGCACCTGCTGCACGGATGCGACAAATGGTGTTGGAGGAGACCGACAACGTCGTCACAAAGAATGAGCAAACGTCAAGAAGAGTAGACCGCTGGATGACGTGCACAAACCAACCATTCAACATGGTTGCGAACAAGTTCTTCAACGACATGGTGAACGCCATACGGGAGGCCCACCCATCATGGAGACTGCACTCGAGAGAGGCGGTGCGTAATGGCCGATCGAACGGACGACACCAGAGGGCGATCGAGGACGTGGGGAGGTTGGCGAAGAACTGGGCTCGCACAGGGTGTATGGTGCAAGTAGATGGGTGGTCTTACCGACATGAATTGGTGGCAAGTTTGGTTAAAATGACCATTGGGTTTTGTTATAAATAGTCTGACAAGTGGTCTGAAAATTGAGGCCTCCGTTAACCATCTCTCCCCGGGTCATACGTTACTGTCCACGTCTCAAGCAGGCGGCGGGCGTATATGTGGACAATAAGCCACATTTCAATTCGTGCTCGATGTCAATAGCAAGCCCGACACTTGAGAATCCACGCGACACTAAATTGCTTGAGAAGGTACTCATGCAAGGACCTAAACCTTCAGGAGATAATTCAATTAAATTCGAGATCATGGGAAATGGGGAAACAACTCCACGATGGTACCATACCAAGGAGAATTCAGAGATCCCGTAGTAAGAATTGTCTTGTGCCGACCCTTAAGGGGATCAACCTAAAACCGTTCTGTTCCGACACTGAGTGAGGTCTCGAACAATCAACACGATCTAGATTCCAATCTAATACTCGATTGGTCGGACTGGACCGTGTTCGTATCTCAATCAAGGAACACGTGAAAGCCCTGCAACATCACTCTCCACTGACTGTTTAGATGAATCCAAGATCGGATACGAGACTGACTGGGCCCTTTGTCAATAAAAAAGAGTCGCAGAGTTGATGGCTCTCCAAAAAACAAACAAATGGGAAGGCAGGGCCTTCATTCGGTAGAACATAAATTTGACATTAGCAAACGATTTTGTTCTATTGCTCACTAAGGTCGTAGACGACACGAAGTGCTCATCCTAGATAGGACACACCTCTAGCCTTTTTCCAGATATCTGCGATTCTTATCGGGCATTATAGATCAGACGCGAAGCGTCTGCTGAGCACAGTGCAAGGTCAGGAAATCAATACTCTAGCTATACATGAGATTGATTCTGGACAATTAAGAGTCGGAAGGCGYGAAGCGAAGCTGTTTGTCAGCTTCCCTTCCCAAGCCCACAAACAAGGCTAAGGTTTTGGGGGGCGAGCTGCATGACGGGAAATTGTCGCGTGTGGTTTTGAGGGCAAGCGATCTGCACTGACCCCTATCCTACATCATGATGGTGATTCTGATCTTCGTGTTATGTATGTTGGTTCGCGTTTTACGGCATCTTCACTATAAGAAAAACCCAATTCCAGGGAGAATTGTTCATGAAGCCACTATAGAAATCATTTGGACTATTTTTCCTAGTATTATGCTAATGTTCATTGCAATACCATCATTCGCTGTATTATATTCCATGGATGAGGTAGTAGATCCTGCAATTACTATCAAAGTGATTGGACATCAATGGTATTGGACTCGGATTATGATTCCAGAGGATGATCTAGAATTGGGTCAATTACGTTTATTAGAAGTAGATAATCGAGTGGTTGAACCAACCAAAACTCATTTACGTATAATTATAACATTTGTTGATGCACTTCTATTAGGCAATACCTTCCTTAGGTGTCAAATGTGATGTCGTACCTGGTTGGTTAAATCAAACTTCCATCTTTATCAAATGAGGAGTTTACTATGGTCAATATATTGAACTTTGTGGTACTAATCATGCCTTTATATGTATTGTAGTGGAAACTGTCTCTTTCAATGATTATGTTTCTTGGGTGTCTAATAAATTACACTAAAAAACAAAGGAGCGAAGCAATGAGTACGATTTCTCCAAAGCATTTTTATTATTTAGGTGATCCAAGTCCATGGCCTATTTTTGGTTCAATGGAGCTATGGCAAGTGATTGGTGGTGTCATGTACATGCATTCTTATACAGGAGGTACGTTGTGCCTTAGTTTGGGTTTAGGAATGATTTTGTATACCATGTTTGTATAGTGGTGAGATGTAATACGCGAATCCACCTACGAAGGATATCATACATTAGTGGTTCAAGTGGGACTTTGTTATGGTATGATTTTGTTCATTGTGTCAGAAGTGATGTTTTTCGTAGCTTTTTGGGGGCTTTCTTCCATTCAAGTCTGGCGCCTACTGTAGAAATTGGAGCTATTTGGCGTCCAAAAGGTATTTATGTTTTAGATCCTTGGGGAATCCCCTTTCTAAATACTCTTATTTTACTTTCATCTGGAGCTGTTGTGACTTGGGCTCATCATGTTATATTAGCTGGTTTAAAACAACAAGCTCTATATGGCATATTAGCCACTATTCTTCTAGCTTTAGTTTGTACTGCATTTCAAGGAATGGAATATGTAGAAGCTCCTTTTACCATATATGATGAGATATCTGACTCTACATCCTTTTTAGCTACTGGATTCCATGGCTTTCATGTAATCGTAACCATTTTTCTTATTATCTGTCGTGTTTGTCAGTACATGGGTCATTTTACTCGAAAACACCATTTCGAGTTTGAAGTTGCTGCTTGGTATTGGCATTTCGTTGATGTGGTTTGGTTATTTCTATTTGTATCTATTTATTGGTAGGGGGTAATTAACACTTACTACCCCAAAACCCAGAGATGCGTGCCAATGGGCTCGCAAGAGCCGGGTGCCTCACCGAACGCGTCGAAGGCGTCGTTTGAGTCTCTATATAGATAGGTCGAAGGCGCTCGTATCTATTAACTGAGTTAACTCAATGATACTACTTCGCTACCTAACCTCTGCGTTCCTGTCCTTATCTAAAGACATTGATATCGGAGAGATTTTGTGGCACCCACCACTACGTGGGCACCTAAGAGTAAATACTGGCAGCGGTTAAGGTAGCCAGTCAAAGACTACTAAAACACTAGATACAAAAACAACCCTTGCTAATGATAAAGACAAGAAGATTTTCCAGCCGTGTCTCATTAATTGATCATAACGATATCGTGGAAATGTTGCACGGCCCCAAATATATAAAAACAGAAAGCCTTCGACCTTAATACCAAACCAAACCGAGCCCGAAATCCAATAAAGAATAGCCATATTCATGATGGGCAACCAACCACCCAAAAGAGTATATAAACTACTCATTAATATCATATTACTATGATATTAGCATACTCCCCTAAAAAACAAAAAGAGCAAAACCCATGGAAGAATATTCTACGTTATAGCTTGCAACTAACTCAACTTCTGCTTTTGGTAAATCAAAAGGAGCACGATTCGTTTCCACTAAACAAGAAATAAAAAACATAATCAATAAAGGAAAAAGAGGAATACCAAACCATATTTGTTTTTGTGCTATGATGATTTTCGTGAAAATACAAGAACCTACGCAAATTAATACAATAATTATAATAAAACCAATAGAAACTTCATAAGAAACCATTTCGAGCAGCAGATCGTAGTGCTCCTCGAAAAACATATTTGGAATTACTAAACCAACCTTCTTTTATAATACCATAGACACCTAAAGACGAAATAGCAAATATGTGAAGTATACCTACATTTAATTTGACAGTACCATACCATAATCAAAAGGTATTACTGCCCAAAGCAACTGAACTTAACATAAATGTAATGACCGGAGCCATTATAAAGATGAATAAATTAACACTACTTGGTTGAATAGGCTCTTTTTTATCATTAATTTCAAAAACCATCCGCTAAAGATTGTAATAACCCAAATAATCCAATTACATTCGGACCTCTTCTACGTTGCATAAAAGCCACTACTTTACGTTCGGCTAGTACTAAAAAAGAAACTCCTAGTATAAAGTGGTAAGAATTATTCCAAGTATTTTGGCTAAAATGCCAATTATATACAATTTCATGTTGTTTGTTGTATTTTTAGATGTTGTCAATGCATGAAATGAAACAAGTCGCTTCTCAATTCATCACACATACTTATAAAACAAGAAAGATTGAAACCCCACCCGAACGGGTGGATAATTGGTACATATCATTCATGACATTCAATTCAAAATGAAAGCTATGCACAATGATTTTTGACAAGTTTTCCTTATAGTTTACCAAGAAAGGGCGTAATTGCTAAGTATAAGAAAAAAAAAACTGATGCAATTTGTCCAATAGTTACATAGGGTGCTTCCACAGGTTGACATCCAATCCAGCCTAAAAGTAAACAATCTGCCATAAGTAACCAAAAACTTCGTACCTATGAAGTGTTAATAAAAGGTAAAGCAAATAGTGAAACAAAGACAAGACCTATTGCAGCAACACCTCCTACAAAGAATTGCATAAATAGGTAAAAAATATCATTCTGGCACTATGTGAGCTCGAGTTGACATAGGACATATATCTACTTGAGCACCATACTCGTCCATTCACTGGTTCATCAATTGAGTTTGGAGACTCATCACTGCAGTGACTCTCCAGTTTGTAGGTCCGTTCGGTCCAGTCTCCCTCTTCACTCACCATGTAAGTGATCATGTAGGTTGCCGTTATTTATGTACTCATACACAAGCGCTTGACAGGATTCCTCGTTACAGTATCCTATGAGACGCACCAGGTGCTTGTGATGAAGGCGAGGAAGGACCTCTAGTTCCTGCATCCACACAAACAGCAGCAAGTTCCCTTTTCAGTGTTTCAGTAATCAATGAAAAATAATGTCGATGGCACAGCCAGCCTGGGGCCACCCGTAAACCTTTTTATTTCTTTAAAACCCAAAAAACTTGAAAAAACTTCAAAAAAGACAGAACCAGAGACAATAGCCGCCAACCTATAAGCCACGCTAAGCAAGGCTAAGCTAGTTAGCCATGCCAGGGTTTCAGGCCAGGGCGGCTTGACTTCTAGGTAATGCAGACTCGCATAAAGGAACAATGTCATGCAAGTTATTGTCAAGTTCAATCCAGCCAAGCCACCTAGTTCTTAACTTGTGGAATGGAATTAGGAAGTTGAAATGCTTCATGACGACAACACAAGTGACCAGCCTGCAACAAGGCTATGGTTGTGATAGACTACAATGAACCTGGTCTGTATGCACACCAGGTTAATCGCTAGTCCAGCAGTCCTTGTAACTCCATCGCATCCGAACTTAATTCCACTCCTCCTCAGAGGACATAATCTCCGCAAGCCCAGTTCAACAGAGAAATGACTAAACTTGAAGATATCTTCTTGTTTTTTTTTTTTTTTTTGAATAAAACTAACCTATATAATAGGCTATATTCTTCTCTCAATATGCCTTCCACTACCTACCTATATACCGCTAGCTTAGCATGGGACGCTGGGGTTATGGTTTTTGGACTCCCGGCCTCCAGATTTTTCACCTCAGCTTATCCCGCGGGCTGTTCTGTGTGGGGAACAGTACCCAGGCTCCTAAGACCTGGCGCAGGCTGGAAAGCATTACTTCCACAACCGGCCAGGGGCCCCAAGCCAACTATCTCTGCTGGTGAACCCAAATCGTACCACAGGGGCCGCGGGGGATCTTTTCTGTTTTCAATTAAAATAAAAAACGAGGAAAAAACAATGGGCCTAGCTTGGTACATCCATGGACTGTTGAAATACAGACTCTAGTTTGAACCAACGTGGACAGGCAAATCAAACTTTGTAAATTACCTGGGGCCGGTCCGTTCAACAGTGATATCTCAAGTCTGTCGCCCCTTTCTTACACGAGGGGGTGAATGCACACATGAGAGGGTAGAGGGTTC